AGTTTCGTGTCTCTGAGCGGCGTTCAAATAACAAGCCAAAACCCGGCGATAATGTTGCTGCGGTGCGCAAAACAACAACATGCAACACAACACAACAGCAACAGCAGCAGCAGCAGCAGCAACATAGAAAAACCGCAGTGGCAGCAGACAGAGGGAGTTGGACTGGGAGTCCTGTAGTAGAGGAAGCAATAATTTAATTCTGCATTGCAAATGCAAACAAATTTCAACCAAGCCGCAGATGCGAGAAAAAAGAAAAGCTTGAGTAAGAAGCACGAAAACTTAAACCACAGCTAGTGACAAAAAACAGGAAGAAGAAGGTAAATACTTAAAATAAATTTTATGCCTAAATAGCAATCTGGTTAAATATTTGGTTAAATAATTTTAAGATTTTGTACACCTTGTATTTAATCAATTAGTAGTACAATTGTTTTTTAGATTTATTATAAACTTATTTGATTTATGTGGTTACTATTTTAACACTTGTACTTTTATTAAAAAAAATTGTGTATAAGTATTTTTTAATTTTTTTAATGCCTGGAAACATTTTTTTATTAGGTTAAAATTTATAAAATTTTAAATTTAAATTGTTATAGTATATTGTATGTATATAGAGTATAGTATAGTATATAGTAAGAACATTGTATGCAGAACATAATATAAAACCTCTTAGTTGCCGAGTTATTTGAAATGTAATGTCTAGAGTTAAAACCAATAGAATTTTCCCGCAGTGCACGATGAGAAGCTGCATGAAAAAGGATAACGCGACAAGGAGCAGCGGCAGCAGTGAGTGAGTGTTTATTTTATAGCCCGCAATGGAGTTGGCTGCAGCGTGGAGTTCCCCGGAACCGGCGGATCTGCCGGATCCCATTTCCCACCTAACCGACAAACGCTTTGGCCTCCGTCAGCTCCTCTCCGTTATTATTGAAGAATTATTACGCGATGGAGGAGGCGGGCATTGCAACAGCCCAGTATCCCAGTATCCTGGCAGTATCCTGGCGGCAAAAGTTCCCAGTTGCCAATGCCGGCGACTAATAGCCGAGAGCCCGAGGAGCACAAAAAAAAAGAAAAAATATTCTTGCTGCAAGCGGCGTTTGTTTGCGTTGCCTCCTCATTTTTTCCTCAATTTATACATTTGCGCATAAAAAGCAAGTGTAAAAGTTTTGCATATTCATGGCGCTTTAAATGTCGTCGCCGAACCACGAGGATGGCGACGTCTGAAGTGCAGATGCAGCCACAAAGGCAAAAAGCAATGCTGCACGACCAGCATAAAAAACAATAACCAGCTGCTGAAGTTAGTTATGTTAGACACCCTGCCAAAAAAGACAATCACGACTTTAACAGGGGGTAATAATAATATTTTGGTTTTTAATGGATTTTACATTTTAGTAGCATAGAAAAATGTATTCGATTGATTTCATTTTAGAACGAAACAACAAAAATCATCAAAATTAATTTGTAAAAACATAAACTAAATGACACAGTATCATTTAATTAAATCAATCGACACATAAAAAGACCATATCATTTAAAATAAAAGTTATTGATGATTTTATCAAATTAAAAACAACTCAAATTGTATCATAAAATTTTAATAAAAACATTAAGGCAATTTCGATAAATGTTGGAAAAATTATTGCACATTCAATTTGTTAATTAAAATAATTGATTGCTATCCTTTTTATTTTTATATTATGGAATATTTTTATATTTATGGAATATATTCCAGGGTATTCCGAATTAGATTCGGATTCGACTAGCTGATTTTCTTCAAGCTTCAACTTTTTTATGCTGTTGCATGCCGCAGTATCAGCCAGGAGCAAAACCTGCAGGAAAAATCGGGGGAAATGGAAAAGCAGGACGTCAGCAGAGGCAACAACAACAACAACAACAACAAAAAAGTAATAACATCAACCATAAAAGTAGCTACATCAGTTGGCAGATGGAAGCAACTGGAGGGACAGTAAGAGTTCAGTTGAAAAGACAGATCAGCGGAAGGGGTTCGGATATACCACAAACATATATATATAAAGATATATATATATAGACAACCGACTGCCGCAGACATATTGTGTCTGCAAAACTTTGTTGACAACAACAGGAGGAAAAACAAGGGGAAGGAGCAAACAGATGGGGAAAAGTGTCTCGATTTCCAGTTCTCGCCTCGTGTGATGCGTGATAAAAACCGCGCAATGAAGCGCATGTGAAAACAATGAGATTATTGCTTAAATTTATGTGAGCTCTATGAACTTGAACACCCGCCCATTGCCATTTACATTTTCCGTCCCTCCAATCGCAGACAATCTTTCTCTAGTAATTGCCGACATGTCAGCACATTAAACGGCTATAAAACGGGCAAACAAAACTGGCAAATCAAAGGCAACTTGTCCGCATCAGAGGAGAACTTTTCTAATTTATCGCCGTTTGGGTGTTGGGTGTGTTGGTTGTGCAACAGTTAAGCCCCACTGGCCTTTCAACTTCCACCGGGGGCCACATTTACATGAGCCCCGCGATTCCTATCCAGTTCGCCATTCTCACCTGGAGAAACTGAGAAACTGAGAAATGGCCCCGGTTCAGGGTCTCCTCTTCGCTCCGGTTACGTGGCTCCGCAATTTATCATGATACTAATGAGCATGAAATAGGACAAGGTTTATTAAATTTCCCTTTTAAAATGTGCACATGCCAAGGCAGCGGGCAAAGGAAAAAAGCAGGTGAAACAGTGCAGACAAGTAGGAACCAGTTTTAGACTCAGTTTAAATTACTTGCTTGGCTTTTTAATTGGTAGAAGTTGTGATAATGAAGTTCTCAAAAGGGTTTTCTCTTTCCAAGAGATTTAAGTTTTGATTACATGGCGTTTAAAGTACTTAACTATTTTATTTCAAACTTGAGTAGATCTTTTTAATTAAGAGTTTAACAATAGAGATATTAGTAGGTACTTTTATAAATAAAATAAATATACTTTATTTTAAATATCATATGAATTTCCTATTAAATATTATTGAAGAAGGTCGAATGAGGTAGCTACAAGTCCATTGGGTGTCACAGTGACTTCCTTTTTTCTCCATCCCTTCAACAAGCTGACTGTGACAGTTGGAGAAATGTCCTGGCGAAGGCACCGCCCCACTTCAGATATTGTTTTTCCAGCTCGCTTTCCCTCCGCACCGCTGCCTAATTGCGGCCAAGGAAAATAGAGTTTTTGGCTGTGCCAAATTGGGCAAAAGGAGCTTGCGAACGGGCCAAGCAAAAATATGGAAAGAGACAGCAGGGAAAAACATGTGCAATGTCATAAAAAAGAAAATGAGATACGGGCATGTTGCAATGAAACAAGCTTTTGCCAAAAATATATTGGAAAACAGGAGCACATATGCACTAATAAATCAGAACTACTTTTAAGTAATGCAGTTGAACTAATGGAGTTTAAAAATGCATTCTGGGGAAAATAAAAATCAAAGCTATAAGGGAAGTTCGATTTAAATAAATAAATTGGCAGCATATATATAGCATTCAAGTCTCTTTTTATTATGTTTATTGCATAAAATCTATTTTTAAATAATGCTTTGTCACACATCCACTTTCTTTAACAAATTATTAAAAATATCAACAATGACTTTCCAATTCTAAAGATTCTGATTTATAAAGAAGCTAAAAACGTGTCTACTGTTCGAGTTTATTGCTCCAAATCGGTTGGCTTTATTGATCTTTTCAATTACTCCTACGCATAGGCTTAAGCTATGTTTTCTGTTTTTTCGCTCAGGTATTTTGGGAGATGTGAAAATTTCGTCTGCACGCATTTTCTATAAATCATTCGAATTGTCAACACGATTTTACTTCTTGGGCGAGTAGCTTGTTGTCCCCAGATAGCGGAAATGTCCGAGGGAAAGGTGGGCGGAGTTGGGTGGAAAAAGTTGCGCGACATTGTAATTTTGCCAGACGTATCAGCCACACACGCATGGGTTTTATGTGTCGTGTGGCAATTTGTGTGACACTGCGGTCTGAATCCATTTGCTCCTCCTTCATCTTTGCGGCTTTTCTGTTTGCTGTTTGCCGATTGTTGCCACAATTCGTTGCTGTTGCTGTTGCTTTGGCAGTTGCTGCTGCTGCTGCTGCTGTTATTTAAGCAAATCTATTTTCTTGCTGAGCGCTGCTGTTGCTACTGCTATTTGCTTTTCATTTCCGGCCACGTCGACAAATCAGAAAACAACCCGAAAAGGATATTATCTTCGCCTCAAGCGGTGGGGCAGCGGTTGGTGTGCCATTTCCCCTATTTGTCTAAATAATTTGCAAAACATTTTTCGTTTCATCGCTCTTCAAGCTGATTGTGTGCGGAGATTCTCCGTCTTTTAATGGTCTTTTAAGAGGGTATTTTTTCCATGTTTTTGTGACCTTTCATCTTTTATCTCGGCTGTTTGGGTCACTTCATTTAGGCCGAAACCCAAATAGGTTTCTGTTGTCCACTCAGTTTTCCACTCACGTGTGCAAATAGAAATCCAGAATCTGCTGGGCACACGTAGAAAAAAGATGTTCACCTAAAGAACGAATTTAAATATATAATTATTTAAAAAAATTTTTAATATATCTCCCTTAAAAGTTCGGAAGGTTGTTCTTAAAAATAAAATGTTACATTCCGGATTTTTATTTCATTTTTGTTATTGCTTTTATATAAGAGTTTTTAATATTTCTTTGCTTGGATTTATATTATCACTTTTTCCTTTTAAATTAAATCTTCGATGAACACTCTTTTGCTTTTACCTTAAATAATTTAAACAAATAGTAGTATTACTTTCCCATTTTCTGGCTTGTTGAACACATTTTTATAGTTCTCCGATTTCTTGTACCAGTGTAATCCAATTCTTGTCGCATTCATAATGCTAATTGCCTGGCCAAATGTTTGTGCCTCCGAAATTTCCACTTGTCATTCCGAGATGATGGCTCACTTAATTCACGAGCGATTTCAGGCCGAGTTAAAGCTGTGACGCCTACACCTGGAGTTAGTCGTTGGAAGCATGAAGTGGCCAACGGGTCTGCTTCTGGCGGTGGGTCTGCTCACCCTGCCGTTTCCCGGACGCACTTCTCGGAATCTCACGGAGTTCATGGGCCATCGGCAGAAGCGATGGTTGATCTACCAGAACAGCGGTTCGATGAAGTTCAGCATTGGTCCTTCGATGCCAATTCCCTTGGGGGATAAGGTCACCTTCCGATCCTGCGTGCTCTCCTATACGCTCCAAGGGGGATCCTACTCCCTGCCCACCTCTCCCATTTGGCCTTGGGATAAGTGGGAGGGCACCTTCGCCCGATCCATAACCCAAATGAGGAGGAATATAGAGCGGCACACGGCCAATGGAGGAGTTCGGTATGCAGACGATGCCCGGCTTTTGGTTTACACTGCTCTGGAGGAGTACATCGGCAGGAGGAACAGCGACCATTCCATGGGTAGGAAGTGCCTGCTGCGATCCATATGCGAAAATGCTCAGATACACCATCACATCGGAGTGTTCTCGGAAATTATGGACATCGTACTTAGGTAAGAAAAAGGTCTTGAAATTCATTTAGGAAAATTGTAAATATATTTTAACACCAAAGATATTTTTATCAAAAATATAAAACAGAATTTAAAACAAAAAGGAAAGGAAACAAGAACAAAAAAACAAATTTAGAATAATTTTCTTTTTCAAAACAGTTTTCTATTCTTTAAATAACCTTATATAAACTTGATAATTTCAAGAAAATATTTTACAATTTATTTAGTTATATATAACATATTAAATATTGAATTTAGGTAGTTTAACAAAGTTTTTTCGCATTAATCTGAAAATCCTTAAATCATCCCACTTTAGCCCCGGCAAAGCGGATCTGGATAACTCCTATCACGAGGCCTACGCCGCCGGAAGGGCTGGAGCCAATTGCCTGGATCTCTACAGCTCCTGTCCTCGGGGTCTCAACTTCCTCGACGAGCTCTTGATTGAGGAAGATGATTGATTTACTGGAGCTGCTGCTGTGAATTTCCGTGGAGTTCGGAAGGGAGTGTGGGGGATCCGCAATAAAGTTTTCAGCCAAATCAAAGTGCATGTCTAATGGGTCTTGTCCTGATGTCGGATTTCGCTTGTTCTTGCTGCATAATTTGGGGCGGAAATGCACGGAAGCATGTCTGAGGGGCAGGAAACTGTGTTGACGTTGCCTCGAGGATGAGCATGTGTGCACATCGATGCAGGCTTACCAGATGCATGACGGTACATGCGAAGGCTAACTTACCAAATATGCCAAATTTAAGTTCGTTAGGTTTTTAATAAAAAGTGTAAACCATGAAAAGATAAAATAAATTCCAACTCTTCCAATAAATGTAAAGTTATTATTTATACTTTATGCCTCACTAAAAATTTCAAAAAATTAGGAAATATTTACTATTTAAATTGATCATTGAAATAAATACTAACTAACTTTTTCTATATCACAATAATGTTGCCGCATAAACATTTTAGCCGCAGACATTAGTTACCTATTCCTCTCCACCATCACAAGTTCAAACACCGCAAAGTTGTGCAGGCCGCCCACCCCCCAAAACGCCCCCTTTCGCTGCGATAACTGCACTTTGGATTCTCCGTTCCACTTTCCCCACTTTCACCCCCTTTCCCCTTGTGTTTTCCGCCGCTTGGCTCCTTCGTTGTTCGAGTTGTCATAATCGCATTTGAATTAGCTGAGCACACAAGGCGCAGCTGGGAGAGCAAAAGCGAAGGAGACGAGGTCCTGACAGGGTGCTAAAACTCTCGATAATCCTACCAATTCTCAATACCTTAGAAATCTAAACAAATATATTTTTAACACCTAACTAAAGTTCTACGAAAATTTGTTAGCCACTTTACAATACTAAATAACGGGACAAAGTATTCCAACGTACAAATTTGATTCCTTTTTTTATTTTTTAAATATACAAAATTCAGAAGTTTATTTTTCCTTTAATAAGTTTATGTTGCTGTAAAATGTCACCCTGTAAAATTCCAACCTCTTCTTAGTTCGTCAGCGTCTGCAAGCCTAATGTGCCACTTAAGACGCATTTATTGTCTTTCGTTGTTGCTGTTGTTGTTGTTGTTGTTGCAGCTTGGCGGTTGTTGGTGGTGGTGCTGCATTTTCCATTTAATTGACGCCATTGTTGACAAAATGGCGGTCGTGTGTTGGCTTTCGCTGCACCGCTTCTCAAGACCAAGTTGCACCAGCCACAAGCCATTAATGTTAACGGATTTTTCGCTCAGCAGCCGGGGCATGTTGGGATGCACTCGTGTTTCTGGTTTACCGGAGAACGGATTCCCGAGCTGGCGAAGTTTGAGAGGGCGTGACTGTGACATGGGCGCAAATCACTTGCAATTAGTGTTAAAAATTCATCGGAGTGCCAAGATGGTTCAGGTGGTTCAGGTTGTGATTACAGTCAGTTTGACGACTGATTGCTGTTGATCTAACTGAGAAGTAATGTTTGTGGTAATCTGGGTATCCACTGGATTTCTTAGCTTATAATATAGCAATTGGCAATTAATAAATTATATTCTCTTATACATACATATATGTACAACCATAACTATGCACAGCCAAACTTAACAAACTAATCGTATTTCAACTGAAAAAATATCCATATATGTATTATATTTTATTTTTAATAAAGGTTTTTATAAACAAAAAGTTGCTTTGCCCGCAAAGCATCAAGAAAATTTTAATAATCCACTTCTACAGCGTAGGCATCCAAGACACTTTCACCTTTTGGACAATTCGAATAATGAGATAAACAATCGATCCCTGCTTTTCCAGATTCAAAGGCTTCTTTATAGCCCGGATCCAAACGCGTCTTACCAGGTCTGTAAATATAAATTAAATTTATTTTTGTTGACTACCTAAACATATATATCAAAGGCTTACGTGAGTAGTACGTTAAGTAGCTCTGCCATAATTCCCACATGATGATGAACCTGAGCATTTTCGCAGATTCCTCGCAATAAACACTGCCTACCACGTCCTACCAGTCCACTTACTCGATCCATATAATTCTCCAAGGCAGCATAAACGAAAACTCGAGAGTCATCCTCGTGAGATTCATTCAATGTCCTAATCTTTTCCTTTAGCGAACGAGCGAAGATCGTCTCCCATTTGTCCCATGGATAAAGTGGAGCTGATGGCAGTGTAAAGGCGCCGAAATGGAGCGTGTAATAGTACACCATACTTCGCCAGACCACAGGATCCTCGAGTTGTGTGGCCATCACAGGTCCCACGACCAAACGGATGGTTCCTCCATTCCTGTAGATAAGCTGATATCTTTTCTGGCGTGCATGCAGATATTCCGTAATATTCTGACCAGCCGAAGGGTCTAAGACATCATAGGCACTTTTCACCCATGGTAGAAACCAACACAATAAATACATCCAATTGATAAATTGCATTGTAAAAGCGTCTGACGGTGGCACTAACTCTTTCAAGAATGAAGATCACTTAAGCCAGTACCAATCTTCACTGCGTTTCGATCCGAACCAATATTTACCCACCCAATTATCATCCATAATAAATTGGGTTATAAAGACATCCAGCATATGAGCCTGCGTCAACTCTCTTCGTCATGCATAGGTAATTCGGTAAATAAATACCGGTTTGCAATTGGAAATCACTGAATCTCAAGTAATTTGATCTACTTAAAAAGTATTCCCAGTCATTGAAATTTCTTCCAATTCAAGAAAGCAAATTAGATAAAGATTTTTGAATGTGTTTTTAAGACTTGTTGTTACAGCCAAAAATTAACAAATTAACCATTTATTTATTTTCTATTAAAAAACTCTAGAAAAAAAATAACGTGATAATTTCTTGTAAGTTTATTACTAATAAAATATATTATACGTTTGAAATTTCCTACAGACTGTTTAATTACGAATTTTGAATTTCCCGCAAAATTACCACCCTGAATACTAGGGCTGCAGTGGTTTGAGCTGGTTCCACTGGAACCACTGCTCGCAGCCCTGAAGATCTTATGACTTTTGTAAACAATAACAAGGCAAAAACTACCTGAGGAAGAAGTCGGATTTATCCAGCAGCGATGAACGCCGTGATAGCGCTGTGCCATTTTTGTGAGGCGCACGGTCCCTGCGCCATTTTCTGCACCCAAACGCTAAGGGACACAAAGCTGGAGGATTTATCCATGGATCAGCAGCAGATCCAGAAATCCTGCTCCGCCTGCAATTACTCGATGGGCAAGAATAACAATGCCATCTACAGCAGGGACACAGAAAGCGGAGCCACATTTGTGAGCACCAAGGTGGCTGTCCTGCCGGAAGTGGCGAGTTTGGTAAAACAAGCAGCGGTTTTGAGTTTGAGCAATGGAACGGATCCCAGCAAGGATGGCGAGTTTGTATTCTTCGGTGATTCGTCCAGGGGTCATATCCTAAGTCACACGTTCCGAGTGAGTGACCTGCAGGCACGTGGCTACTCGCAGCTCTTCTCCATCATAGTCCTCATGAAGGACAAGTACTTCCTGCTGAACATCAAACCCTTTTTGGCGGAGCACTTGAAGAAGGTCTCGTCGGAGCTGCAGGCGGCTGCCAGGAAGACCAAAGAGACAGAGGAACTCACCTACTCCGAAAGGCAGAGGCGTCTATCCGGCGCCCAGTTCCTGATGCCCACCTCGCGCTCTCTGCTGGAACTCACAGGCGAGGAGCATATCTTCGCCCAGCTGCACTCGCACTTCTCGTGGCTCCTGCTGGCCGGTTCCCGCTTTCTTACCGAGCACGTAACCTTTGGCAACCTTCCCTGGCTACCGCCACAAAGTAGTGGCCGTCCTCCCGCCCAGCGACTCACATACAACAGCTCCACGTTGCCCATGATCGAAAGCATCGATGATCCCGATCTGGAAGAGTTCTTTTCACTGCGTCATCTCAAGAGTGTGGTGCGCAAGGAGGAGTTCGCCACCGTGTGCTATTGCGCTCTGACTGGCGTGAAGATCGTGGTTCGTGGAGATCCGAGAAAAACGTTTCGGTTCATGGTCTGCCTAAAGAAACTCCTACCTGAGCCCATGCACAACTTGATGAGAATCGATGCCCAGCACCAGCACTCCATCAGCTCCGAGTACAAGATCATATCCGTGTCCAATGACATAGCCGTTCCGATGGCCAGTAGCTCTGTATTTCGAATCGACTTCTTGGACAAACACGTCAACGGACACGAGGTGTCGGTCAAATGGCCGGGAGAACTGCCCAGAAAATGTAAGCGTAACTATTTTCTGGATTTCGATTTGTTCTAAATTAAATTTAAATCCCTAAACCTCCACTATCTAAATCCTCTTTAGTGCCAGATCTTATGGTTAAACTTCTAAAAGCCGTGGAGGAGAAAAACTTCACAGAACTGGTGCTCAACAAGCAAACCAAGGTGCTCATCGAAGAATGGAAAAAGTAAGTAGAAGTGGAATCAATATGGTTATTCCGGAACATAATCGATCTTTCTCCGTAGCAAAGTGACCTGCCTTAACCACGCCAAATCCACCAGCGTCCAGGGCAAACTAAAGAAGGTGCTTGGAGTACAGCCGCACGATCAGCCGGTTATCAACTACTGGAGCACGCACCTCCACTAGGATTACGTTTTACACACACCACATAGATTTAGGAAATTCGTTTTCACCTTTTGGAATAAAACCGCTTTATTGCCAAATGCTGCTTAAGCGATGGCGAGAAAAATCCATATCTTAACCAAAAGGATTCCAAATCCAGTCGTCCAATGAGCGAGGCGCTTACTTCTTGTAGCCACAGCTGGAGCGGCGACCACGGGCGCGCTCGAACTTGCGTCCCTTGGAGCGGACATAGGGGCGGGTATGCGAGTGGGGCACACCGGGCGCCTTGCCGAAGTGCTTGCAGGCGGTGCGGGCGGTACGCCTGCCCTGCAGCAGCAGAGTGTTCTTGCCGGTGGGCGAACGCAGAGCCAGTTGATCGAAGGTTAGGACCTCGCCGCCGGCCTTCAGGATGCGCTCCCTAGCGGTCTGGGTGACGTGCAGGGCGCACACGGAGAGCTTGGGCACCACCAGGAGGCGGGCATCATCGGTGACGGTGCCGACGACCACGATGGTAGACTCTGGCTGGTTGGCAGCCTTGAAGAAGCGAGCGATGCGCTGCAGCGATAGCGGCGGGCGGTTGATCTTGCTCATAAACAAACGCTTCAGGATGATGCGGTTGAACTTCTTGTTGGTGCGGCGCTGCAGGAAACGGTACAGCTGCGGGGGGAACAGAAAAATACTCATTAACAAAAACAATTCGGCTGGAATCTTTGTGGGGATTTGGTCCTACCTTAACCAGCAGGCGCAGGTACACATCCTGGGACTTGGGCTCGGTCCTGCGAACCTTGCGGTCGTACTTGTGGTTGATATCAATACCCTGCAAACGAAATACACATAATTAGCTCTGGTGTTTTGGACCGGGAAAACGATTTTTGAGCACTTGTTCAATGTTTACTACATTCTTATTTCATTTTTTGTGGGAACTGCGCATAATTTAAGACCACATTTATGCGTCGCATCAATACTAAATTTTGTTTTTGGCCATTTTATCGCCAAACGCTTCACATTGCACGTGGTGCTTTGAGGGCGTTTGCAGGTTAATATCGCCGGTTTGCTGTAAGGATGACGTGATGTTTTTGTCGGGAACCCACCATATCTTTTGTTGAATGTAACAATCAACGCTAAAATAGAAAATAAGACATTAAATTAAGCTAAAAACGTGGAGCAGAAATTTCTTGCACGTACCTCGCCGGAAACGAAAGGCAAAAGAAGGAAAATAGTGTGGCTGCGCTAGCCAAAAACAAGACGCTAAAACACCCAATCGTGCTGTTAAATGTACGTAGTGCTGTTAAGGCGCAAATGCTTATTAGCCTTCAAGACGTAAATTAAGTTGGTAAAATCATTTTAATTATATCATTTACCTGGTATAAGTGTTTTAAGCTATTCAACAGTCTTTTCTTACAAACCTAAGAAAACCAAATATAGAACACTTCATATTTTATAAGAAAGTCTGGCAGCACTATTTGAATTTTAACATTATTGGTATTGCCGATTTTTTTATAAAATAATTAAGGGGACTCTTTAAATAGTCGTTCGTTTGTTAATTTCTGTACATTAAAGGTGTAACTTTCGAAAATTTATGAAAACTTGTAAGTGCTTGTTAAAGTAAAATGGAATTGTTAATTATTAATTTAAACTATACGTATTATATACTCTTTAAGGTGCGTATGTATATGAACAGAAATAGATTACAAGATTTTGCAAATAAATTAAAACTTGTGGGATAAAAAAAAAAAGTTTTATATACGTTTTATACAAATATAAAATATCTGGGGATCGGTCAGAAATTATAATTATAATGAAATATTTGCCTTATCAAATACAAAACCGACATATCCCATTATCGTAAGCAAAACTGTTTTTTAAAATAGATTAAATTTTGCAATGATGAATGAATATTAAATTATATTAAATTTTTTTTTTATTAATTTTAAATGTATACAATATCATGGTATAGTAAGTATAAGGTAGTCTCGTCCATGGTACAATTATACAATTAAAGCCCCATGCATCATCTAAGGGTTAAACAACAAGCACTAATGTCGTTTCACTCGCACTTACTATTCAGACTCCTCTCACTCGCACTGGTTGTGAGTATGGTTACCGGATTGATTTTTGCCGACGAGAGTACCTGATATAATTGTACCCTTGTACAAGGGTAGCGCACTGAGCCATAGGGGGAAAATCCCGAACAATTGTGCAGCCGGCGAGACTACCTGTTGACTGCCGACTACCTGAGACGGAACAATTAATACACATTGTCATATAACAGTCCTTTTTAAGCCGCATGCAAAACATAAGGTTAAAGCGCACATCTTCTTCTGTTTCTTTCGCACTTATTAGAAAACATACTCTCACTCGCACTCATTGTAGTGCGCAATAGGGGAAAAACGCAGCCGACGAGACTAGGTATAATTGTATAATTGTACCATGGTCTCGTCGGCTGTATAATAGTTCGGCATTTTTCCCCTTATTGCTCAGTGTGCTCCTGTTTTCGAAGTGAAAGGTTCTACGCGGACGATTTTTTCTTAAAACGTTAACCCCTGTGTGCTAAAAAAAATGAAGTATTGCAGCTATTGCAAATCGAATGTGGAAAATGTTAAGTTTATAAAAGTGCCAACTTGTGCCACAAGAAGAACATTATGGGAAAACATTCTTCAGTGCAGCCTGACCAAACACGCTAAAATATGCGACAAACATTTCGATGCTTCTCAGTGGAAGTCGGCCCCAAGAAATGGACTGGTATACAAAAGAAAGCGACTGAACGCTGATGCTGTCCCCCAAAGGAACGATGGAGAACCTGAGAAAAAAAAATTTAAATTAAGCTTTGCGGGTTCCAGTAAACAAACACAGTAAGTTAAATTGTGTTCACATACATATATACTATACACTAGTTGACATAATAATTTTGACGAACATTTAAATTGCGTTGTATATATAAATGTTTTCTTTTTTTTGATTATTTTTAAAAATTTTTTCACAACAAATATTTATTATAAATTCTACAAAACTCAACCAGTTATAAATAGTAGTAATAAGGGGTCGTCAAAATAATTTTGCCAACTTGTGTAAGCAAGTATGTATATGCAAATAATAATACATTTATAATTCAGGGACGAAGAATCAACTCATCCAATGGCTGTAGAGGACCTTAAACAAAAACTGTGTTCTATGAAAAAGGAAATGAAGCAATTACGTAAGCAGCTTGAAGAGTACGGGAAATTGGAGAAGTATTTAGGAAAAATTTTTACTGAGACGCAAATCAAAATTTTAAAAAATGAAGGACAAAGAGCGAATTTTGAACCGGCAGACTTGTCGGCTGCTATAAGTCTCCATGCCGCCGGACCTCAAGCTTATAGCCATTTGTACAAAAAAGGCTTTCCCTATCCGAGTCGGGCTACTTTATATAGATGGCTGGCCGAAGTTAAAATCAATCCGGGTACCCTTGATGTCGTGATCGACCTTATGGAAAACGAACAGATGCCCGAAGAAGACAGGCTTTGCGTTTTGGCTTTTGATGAAATGAAGGTTGCTGCTGCTTTTCAGTCCGATAGCTCATCAGATACTGATTGTGAGCCGAAAAACTATGTGCAACTGGCAATAGTTCGTGGCCTTAATAAATCGTGGAAGCAGCCCGTCTTTTTTGATTTCAACGATCGAATGGACGTAGATACTCTGCATAAAATCTTAAAAAACTACACCAAAAAGGCTACCCTGTAGTTGCAGTTGTATCTGATTTGGGTGCTGGCAATCAAAGGCTATGGAGTGAGCTTGGCATTTCGGAGAGTAAGTTTCTAAAAAAAAATAATTCAAGCCTTCAAATATTAATAATTTTTTATTTCAGCAAAGACCTGGTTTAGTCATCCAGCAGATGATAACTTAAAAATATATGCGTTCTGCGATACCCCTCATTTAATTAAGTTGATACGAAATCACTACATCGACTCTGGATTGTGTATTAATGGAAAAAAATTGTCTAAGGAGACAGTCCAACAGGCTATTAATCACTGTGCTGGATCTGATTCGTCAATATTATTTAAAATTACACAAGATCACATAAATGTTAACTCAACCGCTAAGCAGGAGGTAAAATTGGCAAAACAATTGTTTTCGAATACAACAGCAAGCTCCATCAGACGATGCCATTCGTTGGGATTTGATGTGGACAACGCGTGCGAAACCGCCGATCTTTTCAAACTTGTGAATGAATGGTTCGACGTTTTCAACTCCAAATTGTCTAAATCGAAATCCACCGAAACTACGCAGCCCTATGGCAAAGATCTCACGGTCCAAAGAGACGTTTTGGCCAAAATGTCTCAGATTATGCGCACGGAGATAGCTGGAAAATCTTACAAGCTTCCCTTTCAAAAAGGCATTTTGGTCAACAATAAGTCTCTAGATGAATTATTTGCCTATTTGTCGGAGAAGTACGGAATGGAGTTTATTTTTACTAGTCGCCTTAACCAAGACATAGTTGAAAACTTTTTTGGAGCCATGCAGCCTAAGGGTGGACTTCCTGACCCTCCGACTCCGCTTCAATTTAAGAATAGATTAAGAAAATATATTACAGATATGACAAATCTAAAATAATCAACTAAAAATAATAAATAATAATAACAGTACTAATTGCCCAATGTTTAGCTCTTTGTTTCAGAAATGTGATCGTTAGCAAGCCTTTTATTTAGTTTTATTTTAAAATTCAAATTTATTTTAGAGTTAAGAAACTTAACAAAAACCTAAATAATCAAAAACAAAACAAAGATTCAAATGTTTATGTATTTCTTTCAATTTTAAACCCCATGCGCAGCATAAGGGTAAAGCGGCATCATGTTCTCCTGTTTCTTTCGCACTTATAAAAAAACACCCTCTCACAAAAATACATTGAATGCCGTATGTGGCTACTAAAACCTACCCATCTGGTCACACTTAAAAATAATTTAATTCGTTTATTTTATTCTGTGGGTCCTGGAAACTTTAAATAGAAATGTCTGATCCAGGAAGCGCTGGCTATAACATAACGAAGGACCCTGCCTTAGTTAAAAGTCGCATATTCCTGGGAAACCTGCCGATCTGCACGCGCGAGGAGCTGGTGAGCATTTGCCAGCCGTATGGAAAAGTCCTGGGCTCGGTGGTGCAGAAAAATTACGGATTCGTACAATTCGAAACGGAGGATCTGGCCAATAAGGCGGCTTCTGCCCTAAACAAGTCCACGTTTAAGCAAAATGTACTCACCGTACGGAATGCTAGCATAAAATCGAAGGCAGCCAATGCTGCAGCTAAAAGGTCTGCGAAGCAAGCAGCTCATGTCACAGTTCAGGGCGGAATTGTTATGTCCGCGGCGGCGGCGGCTGCTGGTCAGCCCCTCATCAACGATTGCGAGATAATAGTCGTGAATAGGGAGAATACGTGAGCTATTTCAGTCAATATCTGAAAACTGATATTAATTATTCTTGAAAACCCACAGCAAATACGCAGAGTACATTGAGGAACGGCTGAGGAATGCCGGTATGCGAGTGGACGTTCTGTTTCCAAATGAAGATGTCCTGCTGGGCATGGTCCTGGCCAACATCTCGTCGCGTGGCTGCCTGTATGCGGTTTTAGTTACTCCACAGCACGAAGAGCACAACAGTATTACGGTGAACATATTATATGGCGTGCCGGCTGAGCATCGCAACATGCCACTTGAGGACGCCATCACCCTCATTGCCACCGATTTCAGACTGAAGAAACAGCGCGACGCTGTTGCCTTACCCCCGGTAACCTCCGTTCACAAGGGACAGCGCCGTCATCCTGAGCAAATGCAGGAACTCCTGGAAAGACTGGCCGACAATCATCCCTTGACCGCATCGCAGTATGAGGTGATTATAAAGTATCTAGAGGGCGAACGCGAGGAGCAACTGAAGCGCGAGGTGGGCGAGGCCAATGCGATTGCCAAACTCAAGGCTCCTGATCCAGAGATCGAGCTACAAAAGAAGATCCTTAGCATTATGAACAAGCCAGCTGTTACCGAAATCACCAACGAGATGATGTATCCCACATTTGAGGCGGTCAAGGAGGACAAGCGCTTGATGGAGCTACTGCAGGACCAACGCGTTATAGCGGCTTTGGAAAGCGTATATAATTCCGATCTTAGGGAAACTATAGCCGAGTTCTTATAGATTCTCGGCCTTCAAATAAGACGCTAACCACTAAAGGATTAGAATTTCAATTACAGGATCTCTATACAATCTAAGCTTCCAGATGGTGTGTCGTTTTCATTTTGCACATATTTGTTTTCAGATGTTAAAAACAAAACATACCAATTAGATTGTGTAATGTGATCCTGGCATTTAGTAAATAAATGACGTTTGCAACAAACAGCAACTTCGAATGTTTGGGATTTTTAAAGCAGATAGCAGTCGAGTTCTATTTACCCGGCATTTAATAAATGTAAAAGGCTAACAATAAACAACGGAGTTTTTAAGGCCAAGACCGCTTGGCTTCGTGTCCCTCGTACTTGTTGCGATACTTAAGACCAGTGACAAGCGTGGAGCTTTTGGGGAAGGCCGTCTTGCCGTTGAACTTGGTGTCTGTCTCGGGATTGAAGCGCAAGTACTCGTACTGGATGTGCAGATTCTCCGGCAGCTCAACGCGTTTCAGAGCGTCCAATGGAACGGTTGTGTCCACAGGTGTCTCGTAGAAGGAAATGACATCGCCGATGGTGCGCAGCTCATGGACCTGGGAGTTGGGCACTCCGTGTTGTAGTTCATTAAAGCATGCGGCCAGAAATTCGAATTTCTCGGATAGATTCCCCAGCTCATCAGACTTCAACTGAAGGGAGGCAGCCACCGAGCGTATACGGTCTGCTGCATCTGCTGGTGGTGTGTATGGCTTGTGAGGGCGCAGAAAACTAAAAACAAAGCTTGTTATTTTATTGTTTTGGGTTAACAAACTAAAAGAACTAACCCTTTGGCAGCAATTGACTCGCCGATAGCGGAAAAGGAGCCGGTCTTAGTTGGCTTTGATTTTGCAGCCTTGGCGGCGGAGGCAAAGCACCTCTGCAGGCTTCCCACAAGCTAAAAACACATTGTTATTTGATATTTATTGGAATAATCCACATTTTTATTTACCATTGGGGTTTTACGTAAAGTCGCTGCCATTGGATTTTTATTCGATACTAACGATGTTTAGAGAATCTTGGCAACATCGATATTTTTCAGTCGGAGAACGGCTATAAAACTAGCAAAGATATCAAACAAAATTCAAACGCAGCAGTTTCAGGAAACTCTTATCTTATTAAAATTATATTAAACTTTTGTCCTTCTTTAAAAAACAAAATAATTTTTCATACAAAAAAGAACTTTTATTATATATAATTAAAGCTTACCGTTATAGACGTGTCAACTCTAGATTTATGGATTCCATTCGATAGCCGTCGTTCTGTTATCGAAGGGAATCCGTTGAGTATTTGTAATTTGCCTCCAAAGAAAAGTTTTTAAACCTTTTACAAAAATATTACACCCTTTTCAGTATTATATTTTTAAACATGGATAGAACACCAAGTCCAGCCTCCACCTACTGTTCGTTTACTGTTGGGCGACATACTTCTCCAATACGGAGATCGCAGCGACTAATTGACAAGGAAAACCGAGATTTGCCAAAGATTCCAGCCAACAGTCGTTCTCCCCAATTGTTTGGGGACACCCAGGAAGAGTATAGCCAGCTACTTTGCCAGCAGGAGAAGATTCCGACCAAAATTGTGCATTTGGAGGAAGAGTTAAAATCCTCTCATAAACTTGTGCATATGAAGTCTGCGGATAAAGTCGTTCCCCTGAAACCTTTGAATAAAATTATCCACACAAATGGCAAAGTAAAGAAGCCAAGAAAAAATAGGAAAGCAGCTTCACCAAAGAATTCGCAGAAAAAAAGAAGCCAACAGGCCAAACCCAAAAGACTTCCGCAAGATAAAATTATTCATCTACAGGCTGAAGTTAATAACTTAGAGGAGGACGTGGATGAGCCTCCAAGGAAGTCGCGAAAGCGGAACCATCATGCCAAGCCAAAAAATCGAGTGCCGAAAGAACCGGCTAAGAGAAAACCCAAAAATCGTAATTTAACTGCTCCAGATGTTAATTTAAAAAACTCAATCTCTCCATCAAAGTTACCTTCTCAATATCCGCCACATTTTGTCCACCAACTGCCACTTGCAGAAGATGACACTGTGATTCCAATTCGTCCTTTATCAGCTCCGGCTGCTCAGCTGCGCGATTCGTGTTTAACACCCATGGGCACCCGTTGTGGAATTTGGGACACTTCCCCATCGATACTTAATTCCGAGATCTCCTTGAATATCTCCCTAAGCGAGTCCATGGAAGAAATATTCGGAACCAGGAACATACACGATATACTGGCAATGCAGAAACCACGTCAATACATTTTGATTGAGGACCACCTGCCCACTGTTGCCTCCATGTTGAATGTGAGCCTGGAGCGCCTGCGAAGTGTCCTGGAAATCACTCAGGGCTGGACCCATGATCAATTTCTTCATTTTCCGATCAAGCAGGAAATGGAGGACGTGGAGGATCAGTCAAACTAGTCCTGCACATCTGCATTTTATATTCGTATAGATAACCACCATAAATCCTTACGATCCAAATTACAAAGAATGTGGATAGTTCTCATAGGTTCCTTGTTCTTATTACTTAACTTTTGAAACGTTCAAGCAAGTTAATATTTTGTTGTTCCAATTGACTAAGTCCATAAAGAATAAATACCATATGTTCCTAGTTTTTATAACTTAACGTTTAAAATGTTTCCTTTTCTTGTATATTTTAAGTGGTATTTAATTTTTTTTTGTTTTTCTTTTTGTTATTTTGCCTTAGACTTTCAGAGTGCACAATTTTGTTTAAACCATTTACTTTGTTGTATATATTAAATTACTAATGCTAAACGTTATCTAGACTTTATTATACTTCATAATTGGTTTGTTTTCCGCTACGACAATACAGCAGCAATCGATCTGGTTTTTGAATCTGTTTCTATGTTTTCCTTTGTTTACTGTTTTTCTGTTTCTGTTCCATTTAAACGTATATACAACCGCGTGGATTTGGAGTTGCAGCTCCCTAGTAGTCGCTGTCGTAGCTGCCGTCCTGCTGCGCCTGCGTGGAGTCGTCGGAACGCTCCGAGGTGGGCTCCTGATCGACGTCCAGTGTCTTATTGTTGGCCGGACAGCAGCTGGGATGGGCCATTGAGTCGAAGGCATCTTTGATTTGATTGTTGGCACCCTTGGGATCTAGGTCGGTGGCCCAGCTGAAGTGCATCAGCGCCAGATCCATGTTGCCGAGCGTCTTGTGTATCTTGCCGATCAGATAGAACACCACCGACTCCTTGGGCACGATCTCCTTGAGTTCCTCCAGCTCGCGCAGTGCCTCCTGGTACTTGCCCAGCGAGAAGTAGATGGAGCCGCGATGGAATCGGGTCAGCGGGTTCTTCGGATCCAGCGTGGCGGCCGTATTTAGCGTCTGCAGCGAAAGGTCCTTCTTCTTCATGTAGAACTGCATGGCGCCGATGTGCACTAGGATCACCGAGTTCTGCGGATTGATTTTCAGTGCCTTCACGTAGTGGGTCTCGGCCAGCTCGTACTTCTCCTGCTTCGAGTAGATGGTGCCGATGCCGAACCAGGCGTTGTAGTGCCGCGGATCCCTGACCACGGCCGCGCGGAAGTAGTCCATTGCCTTGTCGAACTCCTCGGTTAGCACGAGTTCGTGGCCCAGCAGCGTGTAGCTGTAGACAAAGTCGGGATCCACCTGAACAGCCCGCTTGAAGAACTTGATGGCCGTTTCGTGTTCCTTTTGCAGCGAGAAGCAATTGCCGGAGACGCACCAGGTAACCGGACTGGTCTTGTCCTGGCTGATTAGATCCTGGGCCAGAGCGGACAGCTCCACCTCGCGCTGCAGATGCCACAGGGAGGACGAGTAGATCTCCATGTAGTCCAGGCGACACGGCTCCGCCTTGTGGATGCTCTCGAAGATCGCCACCGCCGCCTCATATTCGCGCATCTCGTACTTGGCCAGTCCGATCAGCGACTGAACCCAGCTGGAGTTCAGATGATGCTTTGGTATCGTCGTCTCCAGATGCTTCACGGCCGCCTTGCACTGGAAGTTCGACAGCAGCTGGTAGGCTTCGGCCAAGTCGCGCAGCAGGGCCATCAGTCCGTCGGCCGACTGTTTCTTGAGGCCCATCAACTGGTGGGCCATTGTCTGGGCATTGTTGAGGCTATTGTTCAACAGGACCTTCGCTTCCTCGGCGACACTGCGACCTCCACTGTTGTTGTTCGCCCCCGAGGAGGTGATGGTCTCCACCTTCTCCTTGCGCTTCTCGGACAGGTGATGCGCCTTCTCCTCGATCAGTTCATTGTTCAGGCAGATCTTGGTCATCCGTGACTTGGTTTTCCGGGGCGGCGAGCGGGGCTGCACGAACTTGTTGGCGATGTTCGGCGATTTGTTGTTCTCCTTCACCGAGTACGAGTTGCTAAACAGCCGCGAACTGCGCCGCACTGCAGCATTCGGGTTGGGCAAAACGTTCAGGTTGCCATTGTTGCCCACATTGTTGTTGTTAGGAGTGCGGGGCGTTATGTTCCCGGCTTGGGTGAAGACGGCGGGTTTGTTCAGGCTTCCCTCCTTGCGACTGATGAGTCCACCGACGTGGGTCTTCAGCTTTTTGCCCATCATCTTGGGCTCCTGGTTGACCTCGACAAGCATCTGGGGCATTGGCGAGTAGCTGATGTTCATCATGGGTGTGTGATTGCCGATGAAGGAGCCGTCGTTGACGCTGCAGGGACTAGTCAGCGGCATGATGCCGAAGCTGGGAGTTGGCGGTGAGAGGGCCGAAAGATATTTGAACTGCTTGCGGAAGGGAGTGCCGCTAGTCATGTCGTACGTCTGCTGCTGGTGCTGCTGGCCGCCCGTTTCCTGCGGATAGCCCATTGGCGAGTCCTCCAGCATCGCCAGCATGCTTAGGTTCTGCACCAGGCCGCCGCGCAGCATGCTGATCGAGTTGTTGAGATTGTTGTTGTTATTGTTATTGTTGATGGGCGTCACCATGTTGCTGTTGTAGTTCTGATTTTGGTTGATCTGCTGCGCCTGCTGATTCTGCTGCTGCTGCTGCTGGTCCACGGGCGTGGTCAAGATGTAATTGGAGATATTGCTTAGGTTGGTGATCAGCGACTGGCGCTCCTGCTGCTGTTGGCTCTGCTGCTCCGCGCCGAACAGCACCATGGCGTTGGCGTTGGCGCTGCTGCCCTGACAGGTGTTGAACACATCTGTGCTTTGTATCTGGAATATGGCCGCCGCGTCTGTGTCCTGGCCCAGCAGGCACAGATCCGCGAAGGCGTGCCACATGAACGGGTTGAGTTTGAGGGCCCGTCGCAGGGCACTGATGGCCAGCTTCGGCCGCTCGGTGCGCACGCAAATCTGGGCCATCAGCTGGTAAGCAAAGCAGGCCAGTTCGCCAAAATCCCGCTGCAGCTCATCGCAGTTCTTGGCATCGCCGAATCCCGTCGAGATCAGGGCACTCTCAGCCTCGGCGTATTTTTTCAGCTCGTAGGCGCACTTGGCCTGCAGGAATCGGCATTGTGTCGAGCGGCGCGGCTTCTCCTTGAGCAGCCAGTAGGCCTGGTGCACCTGATTGGAGCGAAAGTAGCTGGTGGCCAGCAGGAATATCGTCTCGTCGCTCTCCACTGCGCGGCAAATGAAGGGAAAAATCAGTAATGTATATGGTTTCCCCTTAGAGACCTTGACCCTTACCTTCCGAGCACAGGCGCTCCGCCAGGAAAACGGCATCCTTCATGTCGTAGTAGTTCAGGCAATGCCATATGGCGGCCTTAGGAAAGAGGAAGAGAGAGTTTTTAGAGGCCAGGTGGACCGACGAGGAGCTATTGATTTACCTGCACGGGCTCTTGAATCATCATGTCTGGCGGTCTGGGGGCGACTTTCTAGGGGGGCTTCAACTGTTTGGGGACTTGCGGCTTGGCAATAATTTTTGGCTTTACAATAATTCAAACATGCAGTGTGTAGAAATCAAACAAATTATCATGTCGCCATTCGCACACGCTACTCTCTTTTTGGCAAATTTCCCCAACAATATCGGAACGGAAGGGAAAAAGTGTTGTGTGCTAAACGGGTGTTGTAAGTAGGACTGCAAGTGGCGTTGGCGATGTCGGTGTCTCTCGCTCCCTGACCAATCCACTTCCACTTTTTCTGCCTTTTCAGATACTGCAATTGGTTTGAGTCGAGCCTTCGCTTCGCTTCGCCCTCTGTACACACACACTGCGGACTGGGGGTCGGTTTTCCACTTTCGTTTTTCGGAGCTTTACTTTTGTTATTGGGGCACACAATTCAAATCTGCGATTAGCGCCGACACTGAACTACACCTTGGCCACATTTTTATTACATTAAACACGCTGCATTCGCGTTGCATTCCATTTTTAAAAGCAAAACCTAAGTAAAATATATGCTGTGAAAGTATCGATTGCACGCGACCCTGCCAATCGATTGTTTGTGTGGTTTAGTGATACCGTTGGGTGACAGCACTAAAATTCCGATCCCAATAGAATCAGGATATTGTATCAAGTTATTTATTTTTTTAAGCATTTAATTCACCGTTTGACATATAGTTTAATTTTTAATTTTCATATTCATTGTAAAGTTGGCTTGGAATATACTTTAAGTTATTAAATTTAAGCACATTCACCAAACAATAGTAGTTCGAGTAAGCCAATGGTATCGATAGTTTGCTGCATTTCTTGTGACTGGCAAAAGATGGCCAAGTACTCGTAATCGATGCCAGGTTATCAAGGAGACCACATTTTGAATTTAGAAAGTGGATAATATTTATAAAGAAACTAAGTTGTTTTATAAAATACCGAGCAAAACGTGTTGCTGCATCCTGCAAGCCCTAAAAAGTCCAAACACAGAATCATCATGAGCGTGAAATTTGGCTTTGTACGAAGTTTTTCTTAAATCTAATTAGTCCAATCTGGAACTGCAGCACATTTAAAGTGTAAACATTGCTTTCCTTATTATGCGCTTTAATTAAATACCTAATACTAATAGCTTAAACGAGATTTATTCATAGCATATCCTGTCCTACTGCGAGTCGCTGGAACTGGAGCTCGAGCTGTCGGTAGACATGACTTCCACGTCGTCCTGAGCTCGGGTTTCCAGGGCCACCGTGTTTCCTGACGCACCCATAGTCATGTGCAGCTCGCCCAGATTCCAGTTAAATTGGTTCTGGAAGGCATTAGGCACCTCACCACCCGCTCCGCTTCCACTCCCACTTCCTCCGCTGCCGGAGAGAGTTCTCTGCTGCTCCGAGGGGATGCCACTGTTTTGGTGCGTCACTGGTCCGCCGTTGATGTTCTGCTCGGATTTGCCCAGCAGCCCGTTGCGCATCTCGATGTCCGTGGGATACGGTCGCCTCAAGTCGCCGATGCACCAGGTCAGAGGAGCACTGACTGCATTGGCAGAGCTAATCCGATGGGCGTATTTGATGAGTTCCTCTGAGGAAACCGGTCGCTTGTTGGCCTGGTTGATGCTTGCCAACTTTTGGCGGGCCTGGAAAATGGCTGTGGACAGGATGAGTTCAGCGTCCTTTAAAGATTTCTGCAGCTTTTGTATCTCACGGTCCTGATTGGATATAAAGTTCCTCTTAAGTATTTATCTTGGAAGTTAAAATCATTTCACTTACGTGCACCTCCACCTTGGCGCGCAGCTTATCCATCGCTTCCTCTACTTTGGCCTGCTCATCTGCCAGCTCAAGCATTTTTCGGAATTCTTCATCTTTGGCTACCAGCAAATCCAACAGGTCAACCAACTCTGTGCTGGAGGTTTTCTGGTGCGCCTGCTCGATCAGCTCCTTTGCTATCATCTCGATGTCGTCGATAAGGAGCAAAAGCCGTTCCTTCGTGCTTAGATGGAAAGACATTGTCACGCTAATTCGCAATTATTTGGAGCCAATCCAACTTGCAATTTGTTTATTTCGGCACCGCAATGTGACCGTTTCGGGCAGGCAGAAATATACTTAAACTGTTTAGCCCCATGTTTGAAAAATATCAACTGGGAAAGTTGCCAGACCGCAGACAGATTAGTGTTGCCATGTCGATTATATTAACTGGTATAGTTTTAAATTTATTAACGGCCAAAAACATCATGAAAAAATCGTTTTACTGTTTTCTGTATTATGTATTATTCGCTTGTTTATTTTTCTTGTGTTACAGTTGCAGTTATAATTTTAGCGTAAAACTCTCTTGTTGATTAGCCGAACGAGCGGTAAACCTTCGCAAATATGGCAGATTACAATACTCTCATGTATCCTCTCGTTTCCGTCCAGTTTCTCTTAAAACATACAAACTAGCAAGCAGCTTGCAGCAGGTACGTTGAGGGGCCTTGTTAATAACCGTTTAGAACTAGTACATAGTCTTAAAATTAGTTAAGATATAAGTGGTTTATACGTTTCTACGGATATTCATCGCTGTCTAGGGTTTAATTCAAACCCTGTGCTCAACCGTATATAACAAAGAATCAATATCGCTGGCTCTCGCGATCCGAGTATTTGCCGCTCAACTTGCTGACCGAATAGCGATCGGAATAGGCATCGTACTTGTCCGCCTTGTAGTTGATCTCCTGCGGCGTGTACCCAATGTTCTTCTGCCAGTGTCGCGTCCAGTAGAGATCCTCGTTTCGCACCTGGGACGGCGTCTTGGCGTCCCTGAACACATACACACAGTAGATCATGCAGCCGATCAGCGTGAGGAAGCCGAAGATCAGGAACACGATGCCCAGTATCCACACGTAGAGCGGCTCGTAGAATTGCACCACGATTACGAAGCCCAGGGTGACCAGGATCAGGCCCAAGTTCAGTAGCAGCATCAGGCAACAGACTCCCTTCACATTCGGGCAGAAGGGGTTTGGGGCGGACATCGTCTCGATCTTGGCGCCCCTCCTGGTCGTTGATCGGGCACTGCGTCCGGTCTTGGCCGTACTGGCCACCGAGTAAACACTCCGCGGGGCTCCTCGGGAAACAGGACGCTGGCTGTAGCGACTGCAAAACAAAAGGATTCAAAAATATCATTAATATAAAGTAAAGTAGATAATTTTTTAAATCCCCATTATATTTTTTATTCTTTTTGTTAAAGAAAAAAATGGTCTTAAATTTGCCACCTCAATAAAGTTACATATATATAACGGTGAAACATCATATTTAACAGTAATTTTCTTATGAAAGCCCAAGAGGACATTTTATTAATACGCCGCACAAGAATGGTTTGTGCAAAACATAAAAACTGCGGGTATTGAAATATTTTAAGGCCTGAAAGAATGTTTTTTTTTACGATTCATCAATCTTTTTAAGACTTCAACAAAAACATAACTTTAAACTTCTGTTACTTAGCATAAAAAATCGAAGTAGCCCTTGCGGGGCTGTCCCAGCAATCCTGACGACTTTCGAAAAGGTGGATACAAAATATGACACATTTACTGTTTACTGGTTGATTTTAAAATCTCTAAAAAAAAGTGAAGTATCTGGGGCACTGATATTTTATTTGGTTTGAAGGGACAACTGGCACAACCCCTCCGGTTATTCGTATTAATGGGTTTGTGGGCCAAATCCTGGCTGGTCGTGACTTGCCTGATCTCGGAGGGCGCCTTGTAGGCGGCACTGGTCACATAAATGTCGCTGCCGGCATCCCCGGCCTGGTCGTAACTCAAGGCGGAGGGGGCGCGCGGGGGTTGGCGCGTGGGCGGCGGACCGCTGAGCGAGCGGGGACCTCCGTTGTCCGGCGAACTGGAGAGGCCCATCTGACTGTGGCTATAGCTGCTCTGGAGGTGATGGTGGCCATTGGCGGATGTGGAGCGCTTCTTGCGCGACGGATTGTACTGCGGCGAGACGCGCTCGTGGGTCAGCGTGTACTCCGAGTAGGTGCGCTCCGAGGGAGCCCGATGGGAGTGGGTCTCGTCGCCGTCGGTGGAGTAGCCGCGGTTCGAGTGGACGTAGGGCGGATCCGGGGTGAGGCGTCCGTGCGTGGCCACATAATGGCTGCCTTTCAACCTGTAATTGGATCGCAAAACGTTATCCGCCGATTGGCTGCTAAGTGCCCCCCATCCATCCATCCCATCCATCCTTCCCATCCGTAACTCACTTCTTCACTTGTCTCTCGTGCATTCTGTGTATCCTTTCCTCTCCTCCGCTGGCTGTATCTGTATCTTCTTCTGCTGCTCAGGCTCCTCCTCGCCTGATTGACTGCTAATGGACGCGTCGTCTAGCAATTCGTCGAGGTGCCTGCAAGGAGGTATAAAGCAAACACACACGATGAGCTCGGCTTCATGGCAATCAGCTTCCAGCTTCTCTTTATCGGACAGCTTAGAACTTTTAATTAGGGCGATGAAAGTTGTATGGTTTTATTTTTTTGTACAGTGAATACACAGACTGCACCCAAATTCGATCAAAAAACGAGTTCGCTTGTGTTCTACAATTGAAAACTTTTATGGCAATGTGTTCTTGGCTCGTAAAAGTGCAATAGTAAAATATTTATTATTATTACCAGGCGGTCTAAAGGAGACCATCTGGCACAGAAAACTCAAGTTATGGAAATTTAAAGCAAGGTGAGGTGTGGGTATTGAAAAAGAGATGGTTAATAAAATAAGAACTAGCTTATAAAAGTAGGTTTATATTTGAAATGAAATTTACTTTCACACTTCATTACAATTTTAACCTAGTGACAATTGTCACCAGTCCATTTAATAAATCTACATCATCTACATAAACATTTTCCTTATATGTATATATTTTTAAGTTTTTATTTCATTTCCAGAAAGACGTGGGTGTTAATTGAAATCGGAGACAAAGGAACATAAACAAAAGAGTCTTACGATAAGCTTCAACTCGACAGAGGATGCAATAATGTTGTGAGATCCAGTCTTCCCATTAACTTTTTTTTGCAATCAGAAAAGAGCTCGGTAAACTTCATTTACGCCTTGCATAACTTATATAAATTTATGATTCCCCACCGAAGGACACACCCAACTTAATGATTGGAACTGCAGTTCGTTGCACTTTCCCCGTCGTCTCGTTAAATTCTCCCCCTCCCCCAGCCCCCCCACCCACCGCAGCCACTCAAAAAAGTTGGAGAAATTCGTTCTTTCAAGTTCATGGCAGAGAAATTGAAGTTGCCCGTCCTTCGGCGCCGTTCGCCTGCAATTTGTCACTTGGTCACGTAGTGCTCGGTTCTGGGTGCGTCACTCCAACCGAGGTGACAGCTGACGGAGGGAGCGGAGGAGCCGGCGGGCTTAAGGGCAAACTGGTTCCACCAGCCGCAAGCTTAATCCCCGTTCGATGTTCCCATGAATTTGTTTACGCACCCCGCCGGAGAATAAATCAGCATTTTTACGACAGTCGAATATGTCAATCAACAGGTAACATATTTCCAAGAGGAGTGTTCTCATCAAGTTTAAGGTTACGATTGGAATTTATGGTTTATAATTGACACTATTAGGGTTTTTTCAAGCCCTTGATATTCACTACTTCTAACAAACATATTTTAATTATTATAAATATTTAATTATTATAAAGCATACACATATGTGTTATTATTTTTCTATTTAAATTAAAAGTGCTAAAGTTTTTGATTTCTAATTACCCAAATTTATCTTTCTTTTTTTAAACAGTCTGACAAATGTTTGGTTTTCTTTAGTGCATCATTAAATTCTTTCTGTGATAAATCTAGCAAATCTATTTATGCCATTCGAAAATGTCAATCAAAAGGCAATACGTTTTGAAAGCAAGAGTTCTTCTTACTTTTACGTTTATTTTTTTCGAAGAATTTTAACGAACCTGTTTGAGAAGTCTGTCCATAACTCGCCTGCCGCTTTGGCAGCGCATTATTAACATATTGATTTGAGGAAAATCAGCTTCTTCACGACACTCGAATGTGTCAATCAGGGGAAAATGCCTATCAGATGTGTTTTCGGTGAGGAATGTTAACGAATCTCTGGCGTGGCAAATGTGTTTATAATTTGCCAGCTCCTCTGGCTGCAGCATATCATTAACGCGTGGCAGCTGATAAAATTGAGTTATTGCCCCGATTAGGCCAATTAAAGGGTGTCGTTATCTAGCCAGTTGGTCTGGTTGGTCTGGCTCCTCCAGCTTTTTTGCTTACTTTTTTTGTATCCCCCCCTCAGATAGGAACTCGGCTTTTAAGTCCCGCGGTCAGCCTTCTTATTATTTCAGCTGAAGCCAATTTCTGAGTGCATTTACATTTGTGCCCTGCCCGGCGGTCAATCGCGATACAATTGTCAGTTGGGATCTGGATCTGTGGATCTGTGTGGGGGTCTCTTTGCGGTTCGTTTCGGTTCGGTTTGGTTTGGTTTGGTTGGGTCCTCTCTTGGAGCAAACTTTCAAGTTCAATGCGGTGATTTCAGCGCCTGGGGACGCAAAAAACACACAGAAATACACACACACAAACACACACACACCATTCATTTTGCGGTGTGGGCGGGAACGTCGTCAAATGAAAAATCGAATTGGAGGTCGGGGAGTTTGGGAGACAGAAACAGAAAGCAGCGACCCTTTCATCTGGTCTTGGCCCTTGTGTGGTCCCAATGGCTCTGGGTTGGATTTGGAACCACTCTCCACTCCACTCCACTCCATTCCGTTCCGCTTCCTTTGCCGATTTCTGACCACTTCTATCACTTGGCGGCCATCAAAAAGCCGAAGCGACTTGCAACTCCCATGCGTCGGATTGCCACTCCGCACATTGATTTGTTTATGCGGTTTTCGGGGCTTGTTTTGTTAGGCCTGCCTTAAAGCCTTTTGCCTTTTGCGGCGGCGGCGGTGGCAAATGGAATGCGAATGCCATTAAAATGTGTTTGCTCTCGAATTTACCTTGGCGCAGCGAGGTCTTAACATTTAACGCCACATAAACAGCCTTAATAAACCGTGAAAGCCTCGAGAACTCACTCGAGAGCATCGTTATCTCCGCCCAGCACCAAAAATATGTGCACTATACTTATAAGCAGGTACTACACATTAACCGAAAAAAAAATCCATAAAAGTGTCATATTGGTTACACTAAGGTTATCTTTGGAAAAACGCATTTACAAAGTTACTTGAAAAATCAGCATGTAACTCCAAAGCCCTTGTAAACTATAAAAAAGTAATTTAAGAAATGAAATTTTAAATTTCAGCTACAAACTTTTTTATAAATAAATTTTTTTTCCAAAACAAAATTTAAAGTGACACAAGAGAAGCAATAATGTAATAAAGTATTAAGCCTTTTAAATAAAATTGATTCGTGTAAGAGTTTAATAAAAGAAATTATTATTATGCTTACTCTATAAAATGCCTGGTAGAATATAAGATAATTAACAACATATAACTTTTGTTATATTTACAGATAACTACACTTATGCATGCCTTTTTATTATTCAGCTTCAGCTTCAAGTTAATAATACATAAAAAAAACCCCAGATATTGTCCTTAAATTAACTCTTAATGATTATATTTTAGTACAATTTTTTTTTTTGATTTTTTTTCATGAAGAGTTGTAAACAAATATTTCTCGGCGTGTACTATATGTCTTGCCCCATCGGTCGTAAAGCATTTTGGATGGTCCAGGCTACACGAGATTTGCATTTTGTCGTTCGGCCGCTGAAGAGGTGGCGCCTCCGCCATTGTCTTCGATGGATTTCACCACTTTCGCTGCTTCCGCTGCGGTAAAGGCAACAATGGGTTAAGAGCGGAAGTCGTTGCCAGCGAAAACGAGAAGTTAATTTGCGGCAATTTGTATAACACCAACGCCCAGAAAGAAAAACCAAAAAACCCAAAAAAAAGAGAAACAAAGCGAGGCGCCAAGCGAGTGACCACAGAAATGCACTCCATTCCATTCCATTCAGTTGTTGTGGTCAAGTGTCATAAAGGTTGAACGAACGACTTGAACTTGCTATTGGACCAAAGTCTGTGGTCAGCATGCAAATTTCATGGCCAGAGAGACGGAATTTTCGTATTTTCGGGGCGCGGTTTAGAAAGTTTTCCCCCCACCGACGAGTGCAGTTGTACTTGTGCCCGGGAAACTGGGGCAAGGCATTCACTAGAACTGCAGGCCAGCAGCAGCCTGCGATCGACAAAAAATAAATCTGTAACACTCAACCGCAGTCGGGTGCCTTTCACAAAAACAAAAAATGGAAAAAAAAACTGGGGAAGATCGCAGATCGAGGATACAAAGTTGGGCGGGGATACACGATCCATTACCTGGCCAAAAATTGCTGGCAATTCTCCAATCTGCAATCCCATAAATATCCCCACAATGCCCCTAGAAAAAAGTCGGTAGAATAAATAATAACACACTTTAGCTTGTCATTCTGCGAAATTTGAGTTTCTTGTGATATGCATTGTGCAATTATCATTCGATTCCGGTGATCTTTCAATATCCATAAATCAGCAATTGTTTTTGGCTTAGTTTCTGAGTCAAGAACAAACATAGAATAAGAAATAATAACAGACTGGAGTTCGAACCATTACATTGAATAAATGTTTATTATTATTATCAAAGCATATTCTAATGTACTCGTATTATCGGTTGAAATATTGCAAGTAGTTCATTGGATTTTTGAATTATTAGTAGTTGTTATAGGAACTTACATTTAATAATTAAATTCCTTAGTACTAGAAGTAAAAGTATAATATCTGATTGAAAAAATATCTCCTGCCTTTCAAAACAATGAATGTTAAATATGCAGCTTAAGATACCCCACAGGTATTCAAATGGGATCAATGCAATCAAATGCACTCGAAGAAAACACCCTTGCTTAATTGCCTAGAGCCATTAACTTCAAATGCATGTTTTCGATAATCAGCATAAAATTTGATTGCATTGTATAAAGAGCCGAACACTTAATGCTGATTTGCTCCGCTCTTCAAACTGGCTGTGAAGAAAACTGGATGTGGTCGTCTTGGATATATGAATGTGCAGTGATACCTCTATAAAATTAACACCTGAATATAAGGTCCAAATGTGAGTTATTATCAGTTTGTTATATCTGAAGTTTATTTCTTGAAATGTTTCAATTATAAAACTTCCTTTTTCTTCTAGAAAATTATATTCAAACTAAATTCTTACTCATTAAGTAGTTTGTACTTTTTTTCCTCCTACCCGCTATCGAATTAGAACAATCTTTTTTAACTAGTTCACTATACCGAGTAAGCACTGTACCTGTGTATTTAGTGCGTGGTCTCGTCTCCGATCTTAGACACTAAGTAGCCATGTCTGCCGCGCGTTAATCGCT